GGGGGGGGGCGATGGGCATCAGACAGAGGGAAGTGGACGCCCCGGCCCTGGCCAGGCAGCCAAGTCCAGCTGGGGGCGTCTGTGTTCCCTACTGGGATGCCTACATGAAAGGTGGCCAGGGGGCTGGCCGGGAACCCTGTTTTCCTGTTGAGCAGTGGGGGAAGCCAGGTGGGGGCTGCAGGTGGCCCCCAGCTGCAGGGGAGGCCCGGACCTGAGATGCAGCGGGGTGGGCTCTCCCAGGCAGCAGGAGGGTGGGCCTGGTGCTGGTGAGGTTCAGAAGTGGCCCCTGGCTCCAGCCTCCAGGCATGTGGGCAGTGCCACACCCTGGTCCCTGCTCACATGCCTGTCACACCTCCTCATTCATGACACATCACCCACTGTCACCCACACGTGGTCCCAGCACACGGATGAGCACATGCATCACAACACGTGCGCGTCTGTGCTGGGAACTCACTGGGGACACGCTGTTCACATGGCCCATGGCCTTGTGGGAACACAGTGGGCATGTTCACGCACAGAGCCAGTGACAGCATCTCTGCTGGACCCTGTGGCATTGAGGCCCTGGGGTCTGGAAGAGAGAAGGCCGTCTGTCCCCGGGGGCAGGTGACCTCCACACTGGGCACCAAGGACCCCTCCCCAGGTGCCTGACCCCTGTAACTCTGGGTCCTGCAGTGGAGCCTTCGGCCTCTCCAGTGCCTGAGAGGAGGGCAGCAGCGACGCTGGGCGGTGGCCTGGGACCGCCCGACTGCTGACAGCCCAGCACGTCCTCTGACTGCTGGTGTGACCTAGGCTGATGCTGTCCAGCTGGTGGCCATGAGTCAGAGATGCCGGCGGGGCCCCTGGGTGCTGGTCAGCTGGGCCCGCATGGTCTGGATGCTGCCCAGGATCTTCTTCTGGTGGCCCATGAGGGTGATGCCCAGGGCTCGCACATCCCTGTGAAGGAAGTGAAGGGCTGACCAGGGGACCTGGGAGGCCGGGAGCCAAGAAGACAGCACCAAGCCCAGCCCCGCGCCGCCCCCTCCTCGGGCCCACCCCAGCTCTGCTCCAGCATCTGCTGCCCGGCCACCCTCTGAGGACCCAGTCGGCTCACTCACTGGGCATCCATGCGCAGCACCATGCCGAGGGAGGAGTACCCGCCAGCCGCGAAGTGGTCCCGGTACCGGCCCATGCGGATGGAGTCCAGCCAGTCCCCCACAGTGAGGCCCCCGCCGCCACCACCGCCCCCTCGGAGGTCAAAGCAACTCCTGGCAAACGCAGGGGGCAGGCACCTGAGGCGCAGGGGACCTCAGTCAGTGGCTTGCCAAGGCTGTGGCCACCCTTGGCTCCACCCCAGCTCAGCAGTGACCAGAGGGTTCCCCAGGTCGGACCCCAGGAAGGAGAGGACTGAGGAAGGGACCAGGCCGGGCTGAGTGTGGCCCAGGGATCAGGGCCTGGATTCGGTCGGGCAATGCGGGGGCAATTCTGGGAGGTCAGCTGGGCCGCCACAGTGTGGGGGTGGCTGCGAGGTACCTGCCGGCCGTGGCCGTGGCCCTGAGACTCTCGGGGCTGCGGATCAGCGCATCGAGGACACTGACAATGTGGGAGAATCGCGGCCGCTGGGCCCTGTCCTTCTGCCAGCAGTCCAGCATGAGCTGGTGCAGGGCGCGGGGGCAGCCCATGGGTGCGGGCAGCCGGTACCCCTCCTCCACCGAGCTGATGACCTGGGGGCACAGCGCTGGTCAGGACGGGCCTCCCGCGGGCTCCACAGCGCCCCCGCCAGCCAGGTCTGGCACTCACGTCCCGGTTGGTCATGTTCCAGTAGGGCCTCTCCCCGTAGGCCAGCACCTCCCACATGACCACGCCGAAGCTCCACACGTCACTGGCCGAGGAGAAGGTCCGGAAGGCGATGGCCTCGGGCGCCGTCCAGCGGATGGGGATCTTCCCTCCCTGCGATGGGCACAGAGTGTGGAGGGGCTGCTCAGGCCCGGCTGGGGCGGGTCCAGGCTTCTGCCCTAGCCCAGGCCAGGGGGCCGTTTCCGAGTCTCCTGGAGGACACTCGGCCGCTACCTTCCAAGAGCGTGTGTTCTGAGCAGGGAGACCCACCTCTCAGAGCCCCTGTGGGGACAGTGAGCCAGGTGCAGAGTGCCGGGCAGTCAGGTCAGTGCCTGAGCCAGCAGGGGACGCCTGGTCCCTTCCTAGTCCTCTGTCCTCCTCCTCATTTTTTTGGTCATGGAATCCTTCCTCTCTGTGAAACCTGACCCAGGGACCAGGTCCAAAGGGCAGCCTGCTGGGGCCACGGTGGGCCACACCCTGCCACTCCATCTGCTTTTAAGGCGGGTCCCAAGGCACCTTGGCAGAAACCCGAAACTCCACCCAATACCCTGGGATGAAGCTGGTTTTCAGCCAAACTCTAGAAACAGGTGCAGAGTCTGTGATTCAGAGACGCCAACGAGAGTGAGTGACCGCGGGCCCCAGCCCAGCGTTTCCCCAGGTGCCTGGTGATGAAGGAGAGGAGGCCAGTTTGTCCCTGGTTCCCGGAGTGGGAATCTGGGGTGGAAAAGGGGAGACAGGGCTTGCCCCACATTGAAGGCACCCCGGACCCTGCCGCTCTCCACCAGCTCCATGCAGCAGAACCCCAGGGCCTGGATTGGGGCAGTCCACCTGCCACCTTGTCCCCAGAGGAGGGGCGCAGGTGACGCACCGTGGTGGTGTAGGCGGCATTGGGGTCGTCCTCCAGCACCCGCGAGAGCCCGAAGTCCGACACCTTGCACACCAGGTTGCCGTCCACCAGGACGTTGCGGGCAGCCAGGTCACGGTGGATGTAGCCCAGGTCTGAGAGGTAGCGCATGCCGGCGCCCACGCCTCTGAGCATGCCCACCAGCTGCGTGATGGTGAACTGTCCGTCGTGGGTCTGTGGAGCACACAGCGCAGCATGTCATGGGCTAGGGGCGCCCCGCCAGGCGCCTGGTCCCTGGCCAGGAGTCCTTCTGTGTGAACGACCCTCAAGCCCTGGATGTGCCTCTCTGCTTCCAGAGCTCCTGGGGGTCAAGGTTCATCCTGGGGTCTGAGGTGCTCCCAGCAAGCCCGAGCCAGCCTGGGAGGTCATGGGCTGCTCATCCATTTTGCATAAGGAGAAATGAAGGCCCAGAGAGTTTCAGCCCTGGGCCTAACAGCAACCAGCAAATACACAGCAGGGCGGGAGCTGGGGACCCCCCACTTCCTCCCGCCTGGTGGCCCAGGCAGCATCAGAGCCCACAGAGACACCCCTCAGCCTGGGGGAGGACCCCGTGGAGCAGGGGACTGTCGTGATGGGGACTGAAAGGCCGTTTGCCGGGACCTGCCTCCCCTTTCCCCAGGTGTGTGGATGCAGACTGGGGGTGGGCTTGGAGGGCTTCCCTCCCCCAGCCCGCGTGGGCGGCAGGGCAGGGCACGCACCCTCAGGAAGGCGTCCAGAGAGCCGTTCTCCATATATTCCGTCACGATCATTGCCAGGCGGCCTGGACAGGAGGGGAGACGCTGGCTCTTGTGGGGGACAGGGCGCTGATCAGAGACCCTAGGAGTGCACCCCACCCCCAGAGTGATCCAGGGGGCAAGGAGGGGCAGGGTGGCCCAGAGATGGACTCCGAGCCCTCTCTGGGCAGGAGGGCCCCTGCAGGCTGAGGCTGCCCTGGCCCGCCACCTACCACGGGTGACGACACCCTCGAGGCGGATGATGTTGGGGTGGTCGAACTGGCCCATGATGGAGGCCTCACTCAGGAAGTCCCGACGCTGTCTCTCCGTGTAGCCAGCCTTGAGGGCCTTGATGGCCACGGGCACATCCCGCTGCCCGGGCACCCGCAGTCGCCCGTAGCAGACTTCTCCAGACTCCCCTGTGGACCCCGAGAGGGCAGGCAGGAGGGCAGTGGGACCCTCCTCTGGCCCTGGCCCCATGCCCCCAGCCTCGCACGCCCGCGTGCCCCTCTCCCTCTGCCCTGGGTCCCCCTTCCTGGTGGCCCTCCATGCTGTCCCCTCCCTCACAATCCCCGAGACTCACCGGAACCGATGATCTTCTCAATGTGGACCCTGGAGGCCTCGATCTCCCGGGTGAAGCCGCGGCCTGCCCGGCCCGGCTCCTCGTAGGTGTGCGGCTCGGCGCAGCACTGGGGCTCCGGGAGCTTCCCCGGGGGGTGGTGCAGGGGCAGGAAGACAGGGGGCGGCGCTGAGGGGCGGGGAGAAGGGCCTCAGTGGGGCTCGGGAGGGAGTCCCCCCGGCATTCCCTGGGCCTGGGACGGGTCTGGGGTGGAGTGAAGGGCGTCTCTGGGAGCCCCTGCAAGTTCTTGCTAAGTGACCATGGGGTCTTATGGAGTAGCTCTGGAGTCTGGGACTCCAGGGACTTCTGAGCACGTCACTTGTTTTCTAGGGTCACTTGTAGAATTCTTGAGCTCTTTCTAAATTGTTCTGGGGTAAGAATACACCGCACCCCCAAAAGGAAACAGTTTTGCTGGAATTGCCAACTCTGAGGGCTCCCCAGAGTCTGTGTTAAGAAGGATTCGGAGGCTGCGTTCAGGCCTGATGGGAACCGGTACCAGGACTGATCCTTTAGCGCCCAGGAGCGGGGGGGTGCGGACGGGCATCCCCATATTCATGGGGAGGTCTCTGACGATCTCTCTATAGTGGGGTTCTTGTCTAAAGTGTATGAACCCCCTAAAGTCACATGCAGAGCACACAAATGCATACTCCTCTCTACTTCCCTGGGGAGAGGGTCCCCGGTGTCCTCCAGGGGTCCCTGGTCCAGGAGAAGGGGGTAGCACTGGTGTCCAGGGTTGGCTCTTTGTGGCGCCCTGGCACCTGTCTCTGGCTCAGCCTCTCCGGCGGGCACTGTCCCCTCCCCACCGTGCGGCCCCGCCCCACCTGGGCCCTGCGCTCACCCTGGCCGCTCTGGTACTGCATCTTTTCCTCGTCCGAGTCCTGGAAGGCCTTGCTGTAGCCACAGTGCCTGTGGAGGACGGTCACTGCTCTGCCTGGGCCCAGGCCAGCCCCTGCCCTGTGAGGAGTCTGCAGGGGAGAGTCCCTGTCCTCCACCCAGGTGAACTGTGACAGCTGTTCAGTCACAAAGCAGTTTACAATCTATAAAATGCCCTGGAGCCCAGCTCACCCACCCGGCAAAGCCCTGTTGACGTGAAACCCTGCCGGGGGGAGGGTACCCCGCTGGGCGACCTTGGTGGGCCCCTTGCTCTCTCCAGTCATTGAATGGTCCTTCTGATTCTCACTGTCTGGGACTCTAGGCCCACATTCAGCACTATTCACAGGGGAGAGTGACCGAGAGCACCGTCTCGTCTGACAGGCCTAAGTTCACGTCCCAGCTCTGGTACTCATCAGCTGTGTGACTTTTGCAAGTAGATCAGCCTCTCTGGTCCCCAATTTACTCACCTGCAGAATGAGGCCAGAATCTCTACCTTGTTGGAATGTCATTGGGATTAAATGAGGTGACGGGTTTGTAACATGAGCCGGCCCCAGGCACCTGGGGGCCACTGGCTCAGTGGGGCTTGGAACGGGTGGGAGGTGCAGTGCTAGAAGGGCTCAGGGTGGCGTGGGGGCCAGAACTACCCACCTCTTCTTGCAGATGAGCAAAAGCAGAAGCACCACCAGGCCCGAGATGAGCGTCAGGCAGATCCAGACGATGGTCCGGGTGTCGTAGCGGGGCCCTGCACGGGGAAGCCAGGTGGCAGGACCCTGCCTTCAGCGCTGGCATCTGGTGACCCTGCCCAGGGCCCAGTGAGCACCTCTTCAGCCATGAGCCAGCCTTTGGTCCCCACCCGCCCTCCTCTAAGCCTCCCTGAGAGTCCCTGCTGCCCCAGCTGTCCGGCTCTCCGGCTGCCGTCACCGCTTGCTGGACAGGGGGCCCTGGGGGCCTCACTTTACTTCTCAGAGGCAAATACAGAGGAGTCAAACGCACACCTGTCCTGCCTGCCGGCTCCAGAACCAGGGTGGACTGTGCTGAGAGCCGTCCCCACAGCTCAGCGAGCCCTCACCAGAGCCCTTCCAGGGAGGTCTCAGGATTATCTTGTTTCCGGATAAGAAAACTGAGGTTCAGAGAACTCAAGCAACTTCCTCCAGGCCACACAGTGCGTGGGATGGAAGGGGGCAGGATCCCTGCCTCCAGTCTGAGCACTTGAGACACACGGGTGGCAGGGGAGTGCCAGGTGGGCGGTCACTTAGTCTGTCCTATGGCTAGGAGAAGACCTTCGCTGGCCAGAGCCTAAGGTGATGGATGTGAGGGTCGGCCTCGATGTCAGTGGTCCCCAAACTCGGAATGCTTCAGGACCCCCAAAGGCTTAAGAAGACCCAAATTGCTGGGCCCCGCTTCCCAGAGTTTTTGATTCAGAGCGGGAGGCGGCTGAGCACTAGCATTTTTAACAAGCTTCCAGGTGACGGCCTGCTGCAGGTCCCAGCAGAATTTGGGGAACTCCTGCTGGGCGGGGCCTTGGAGCCGGATGACAGGCGGGAGGGCCTGCGATTGGGTCCCACGGACCGCGGTCCTGTTGCTGTGAACCCCCTCACTGCGCTGACCCTGACCTCCCTGTCTATACAAGGGGACCCACAGCGCTGCCTCGGGGACATACACAAGACCTGCTGGCCAGGGCCTCAGGAGGCTCAGCAGCAGCAGCTGGGGACAGGCTGTCTGCTCTGTGGCCTTGGGCAAGTGCCTTTCCTCCTCTGAGCCTCAGTTTGTCACCGGCGGAGACGCTGACCGCTGTCCCACTTGTCCCCCGCCCGCCAGGCCCGGCCGCACTCACGGGGCTTCCCGGTCTCCACCTCGACGGCCCGGCTGAAGCGGCCACAGCCCGCCGACGTGCGCGCCCGCACCTGGAACACGTAGCGCGTGCCCGGCTTGAGGCCCGACACGGTGGCCCGGGTGGTGACGGCCTTGAGGGTGGAGTAGCTCTGCATCTCCTTGTCCTGCAAGGACAGGGACACGGACAGAACCAGGACAAGGCAAGGGCGGGAGGGGGTCAGCGGGCCGCCGCCTACCTTCTCGTAGTACTTGACCTCGTACTCCAGGATGATGCCGTTGGGCTGCTCCGGCTCCTGCCACAGCAGCGACACGCTGGTCTGGCCCGCGCGCTCCTGCCGGATCACCACCACCTGGGACGGGGCTGGGCGGCCGCCCGACGGGGGCGTGGGTACGGCATCATCGGGACGTCCCCCCGCCCGCCCGGGTGGCCCAGCTCAGCCCCTGACCGCCCCGCCCAGGGCAGCCGCACCCGTCCACCCTGCAGAGCACCACCACGAGCCCTAGCCCCAGCCCCACCTGGCTCCCGTCTAGGACCCACTGGACTTGACCCAGACAAGCCCTGGGGGAGCAGGGCCCAGGAGAGGGAGAGGGACAGAGGGGAAGAATGGAGGGGCCACCCTCAGCCTGAGTCCCCAGGAAGGGGCTAGGGAAGGGGCTGAGCCCTGCTGTGGCACTCAAGGGTGCTCAGCCATGTCCTCCCTGGCTGGCCAGCTCACCGCCCCCTCCCTCCCCACCAGTGCCACTACCCTGAGGTGACACACACAGGACTGCCCCCTGCTGGCCCCTCTGCTCACCCCAGCCCTGACTCTGCCCCACACCCCATGTCCCCCGCCTGCCCCACCTGGCCAGCTCGTCCCTCATATCTGACGTCCCCTCTCCCCAGCATGCCTGGGAGTCCTGGGAGGCAGGGGCCACAGAGTAGGAGCCCAATAAATGCTGCTGGTGACCGATAGGAAACGTTCAGAACAAAGTGCAGAGTCGCATCTGGGACAGGAAATGACCCCAGCCTGGGGTCAGGGTGGCTCTGCACCTGGCTAGCTCTCTCCCTAGCGGGGACCCTGATGAAGCCGTTGCTTCATCCTGTAGAGTGGACACTGGGCACTGTCCATGGCTGCTGGGTTCTCGTGCTCCTCCCTCCACCCGGACCAGCCAGCCACCTGCCTCGGTGGCCCTGTCAGCAGGTGGGCAGGGCAGGGCCGTGAGCCCCCAGCACAGTGACCCGCGTGGCTGCTGAGCCAGGGGTCTCCCGGTGGGCGAAGCTGAGGTGTCAGAGAGGTGCCCGGCTTTGGTGGGGAGGCTGCTCCACTTGGCCATGAGACAGACCTGCCACTTCCTACGTGGGTGACACTGGGTGGCTCTTGGGGTCTATTTCTTCCCACCAGGAGCAGGTGGGACATGTGCTGGGCCAGGTCTGCATGGGTCTGGGGAGAAGCCCAAGGGGTCCCAGCACACTCAGGGGTGGGCTGGTGGGGACACACTTGGGGGTGGCCATCTGGGGACTCTGAGGTCACTGTGCCGCCTGGCAGGCAGGACCCCCCAGAGTCTGGAGAGAGCCTCCAGGGGCTCAACACAGCCCAAGGACTGGCTAGAAAGAGATAAATGGCCGAGGTCAAGGCCAGTGTCACCAAGTCCATCCCAGGGGCAGCCAAGGCAGCTACTCTGGAAAAGGGTCATCAAAGTGACGTCATCTTCTGATGACATTTACTGAGTATGTGCCACGGGCCGGGCGCTGGCTGAGAGCTTCTCCATCTCTCTCTCTCTCTGAAGCTTCACAACAGTACCACGCAGGTATGGTGGTCAGATACAGAAAGTTCTGGAACCCAGGCCTGCGAGGCCACGCCAGCCTACCTCTGCTTTCTTGATTCCTCCCTCAAAGAACATTCTCTACTTTTCTTTCTCTTTTGGTACCAGGGGTTGAACTCAGGGGCACTCGACCACTGAGCCACATCCCCAGCCCTATTTTGAACTTTATTTAGAGACAGGGTCTCACTGAGTTGCTTAGGGCCTCGCCATTGCTGAGGCTGGCTTTGAACCTTCGATCCTCCTGCCTCAGCCTCCGAGCCACTGGGATTACAGCCATGTGCCTGGCCATTTTATACTTTTCTAAGAAAAGAAGCCCTCAGCTCTGGGTCCTAGTAGAGTGGACATGCCCAGGAGAGGCGGCCAGTTGCCCAAAGCCCACAGCGAGTCTGTGCCGGGCTCTGACCCCCCACCCCGGGTGGGCACGGGTGGGCCAGGAGCTGGGAGGAGCGTCTCCGCTACCTGCCTGGTTGGTGGTGATGTTGACGATGGCAGCCCGGCGGGGCTCGGGGCTCAGGTCGGACACGCCGTTGACGGCCTCGATCCAGAAGGAGTAGTTCATGTGGGCCAGCAGGTTGGCCACCAGCAGGCTGGCCTGCACCAGGCTGGTCTGCTGGGGCACGAAGCGGGTGCCACTCCCACACGCCTCACAGTGGCTCAGTGCCCAGGGGCAGCGGCGGCACACGGCGTTGTAGGTGATGTCACTGCGGCCACCTGGGTCCAGGGGAGGGGCCCATTCCAGGGTCACAGATGTCCCATTTACACTGGAGATGAGGTTCACGGGTGCAGAGGGTGGCCCTGGGAGACAGAGGAGGACACACAGGGACACTGGGCTGGTCCAGTTTCCCCAGGGTCAGACCAGGGGCTTCCCGGGGGAAGGACTCCCCCCCCCCATGGTGAGGGGTCCCTAAGGCTAAAGTCACCCCTGCTCCACCTGGACGGTCCCCGCAGGCAGAGGCTGTGTCTGCCATCAGATTGGCATGGGGACCTAAGCAGGACCACAGGGTCCTGGGTGGTGCCACCCTAGTTTCCTCCAGGGCTGGAGGGAGATGGCGTGGTCCTGGGTGCCCACAGAGATACCCCGCATGTGGAGTGCCCGTCATTCGCACCCCGCCCTCACCCCCACCCCTGGGCTGGACCTGAGTGAAACACCACTGAGCACTCGGTGAAGCCAGGACCCCACTAAGTGTCCCCTGTGGCTGTCACTCTGTCACCCTGGCATGGAGGCCAGTCTGGGCAGCATAGACTTTGGAGAAAGAGGGTGACCACCTGGTGGGGCCGACTTCGGGGTGGGGCAGGAGGCCCGGGGGTCCCCTGGTAGTGGTGGGGTCTGAGCAGGGAGGCATGGGGGCTGGGGGACCCCGGGGCCTCAGAAATCCAACTCTGGGAACTCCAGGCAAGGGATCTTGGGTCTTTCGAGGCCAGAGCCACAGGACCTCAGGGTCACAGGCTCGCCATCACCAGAGGGGACAGTCTTAAAGGCAGAGCGGGGTGGACACGAGGAGCCCACGTCTCAGGCTCAGAAGCTCCAGTGTCTAAAGCCAGAGTCCGGCCAGGTGCGTGGACAGGACTCAGCCAGGCTCCCCCTGCCCCCGGGGCCCACAGAGCTGTCACCAGGCCAGCAGCTGTCCCTTCTGCCCCAGGGAATCCCACATGGAGACACACACAGGTCTGGGCAGAGCAGCGGAGGGGCGGGCACTGTGTGGCCCCCGTGGTGTGACTATACCTGAGCCCTCCCACTGGTGCCCGGTGCCTGGGGCTGGGTGGGCACAGGGTGGCAGTGGGGGGGACAAGGCTGGGGCAGATCCAGGCAGAGTCAGAACCCTGAGTGCTGGGCACCCCGGGAGAGCCTGGGCTGGCAAATGGGGGGCCTGAGGGGGCTGAGCCCCAGGCCAGGGTCGGTGTGGGCAGGGCCAGAGCTGGGGGTCGCAGCAAGACAGCCAGGGGCACTGCAGGAGCCACCGTCCCCGTGCCAAGCTAACAAGGTATGCGTCTGAGCCCCTCAGGTGCCCTGATGCACCCCCCACACCCAAGGAAGCCCCCCCCGAGAGCCCAGGCGCTGCCCTCACACACAGCCCACGCCGCGTCCTCTGTAGAGCCGCTGCCACGCAGGAGGCCACCCCACAGCATCCCGGACGCACCCCCAGGCACACACACTCGGCACACACACCCCACCCGCGAAAGGCACTCCACACACAACAGCCCGACAGTCTACGGCAGGTGCTGGGGCTGGGGGCTCAGCCCGGGGAAACGCCCTGCCCTGCCACCCAGACCCCGTGGGAAGATGATGGGCGCGGTCCGGCCTGCCCCTGCCCTCTGGAGCAGAGACCATGGAGGGGTAGAAGAGCTCCCTGGGGAGATGGCAGGTGACAGGTGACAAGAGGCTGGGAGCCCAGAGAGGTCAAGGCCACTGCTAGGGGTGGAGTCCTGCCCCGCCCCAGCCTGGGCCCTGGCCCCACAGAGCCCTGGGGACCTCACCCAGCGCTGGCCTGGGCGCTACTCACGGGTGCAGGCTGCCGAAGGCGGGTCCAGGGCCGCACGGTAGTAGCTGAGGTCACAGCGGCAGGCCTGGGCGGCCGGGGCTGCGGAGTGGCTGTGGGGTGGGCAGCGGGCACACAGCTGGTCCCCAGGGGCTGACTTGTAGAAGCCCAGCTCACAGGCTGTGGGGGAGAAGCATCTGTGGGTGAGTTAGGCAGGCCACCCGGCAGGCCTCCGGCAGCTCTCTCCGACCCAGGGCTTCCGGGGGGATCCCCTGGAGGGGCCGAGGGGCAGAAGTTCAGCCTCACCCACGATGCTGATGAAGGGACTGAAGCACAGAGAGGGTCTGTGACTTACCCAGGGTTGCACAGCATGCTGGGGGCAGAGCTGAGGTGGGACCCTGACACCTAAGTCCCCACCCCAAAGAAGGCACAGAGTTGACACAGCCTGCCCCGGAGCTTCTCCAAATCCCCCCTCCTCCTCCAACAGGCCTTCCTACTCCTTATCCAGCCTCAGAGTCTGTCCTTCACAGGACACCAGTCCCTGGGGACAGGGGCCAAGGGGTTGAAGATGGAAGGAGGGACCAAAACCTAGGATGTGACTTGGGGGGATGTAAAAGCCAAACAGGGAATGGGGGTGGGCAAGAGAAGAGTCCCATGTGGACGATTCCAGGTCCCCAAGGCAGACACGGAATCACCCCCATAAATACTCAGACTCCCGCCCCCCCCCCCCAGACCCCGAGTTCCGGGAGCCAGGCCCGGGGACTCTGTCTCACACGTTCCCCCGGCAAGGCCCCGCCCAGGCCCCCGTCACCTCAGCCGTCCTGACCCTGCCGTGTGCTTCGTCCCTTGCTTGCATGAGACAGTGGCCTCCGGACCCCCCAGCCCTGCTCCCCACTCCAGCTGCCAGAGACCCCAACCTCTGCTCAGGAGCACGGCCTGGGCCAGGCTGGTTCTGGGCCCAAGAGACGTGGCCATAGATAGAGCTGGATGTTAGAGGAGCAGCGCACAGTAAGTCTGTCCAGGAGGGTGCCCACGGGAGAGCAGCGGCAGGCCTGGGTGGAGGGAATTTCTGAAATGCACACCTGCTGTCACTGCCTGGTCAGCCCCTCACGGGCTTCCCTGTGGCCTAAACCAGAAAGCCTGGCGTCCACACCCCTCTCTACCAGACCCAAGCCTACCTGCAGGTTCCTGCACCCCCCACCCTTTGGCCAAACTAAATGAATGGCGGCTTCCCGGGTGTGGCAGGCTGTTTCCTGCCTCAGGGCCTGGGCGTGTGCCAAGTCTTCCTGGGATGCCTTTCTTCCAACAGTCTAACTCCTCTTTCAAGAGTCATTTAAATGTCCTTTGGTGCAGCCTTCCCAGACCATGGCCCTCCTGCTCCTGTAGTCCCCGATCACCTCTCGCCTGTGACACCAAGGCTGTCTGTATTTATCTATGTGTCTGACTCTCCTCTTGGACTGGGAGGTCCTGGTGGGTGATCCTTGTGAACATGGGCGGGGCTGCTTCGTTCATCCCAAAGTCCCCCCGCACCTGGCACAGGGCTGGCCCACCGCAGAGGCCGTCTCACGCTGGCAGAGTTTCCAAATGGAGTGGACACCACCATCATCCGCTCCGGGCAGAGGGAGAATCCGGGATCTGGTGGACCCAATGCCACCCAGCCAGGCAGCTCCCGGCCTCATCCTTGGACCTGAAGTCCTTTGCTCCGGGGACACCGACTGGGATGCTCTTAGCACAAAACCCTATTCTAGAAGACCCCGTGCCTGAGAGAAGTTCTATGTGAAAACATCTCAGAGAATCTCTTCCTTGGACGCTGATGGCATCTGTCACAGCAGCTGGACCAGGGTGACTTCCAAAATCCTGCCACTGGAACCAGAAGTGATGACCTCAACGAGGGCCCCAGAGACCTGGGGCCGTGCAGCTGGGAGGGGCTCAGCCGTCACGGGGCGGTCCCAGGGCTCGCGCCTGAGCGGGGGCCGGGTGCGGGGCCGGGAGCGTGGGATTCTGGGCTCCCGTGAGCCCGCTGTGTCTCCCCCCCTTCCCAGAAGCGCCGGGAGGCCAGTCCTGGGCAGCCACGTGCTGACCGTGTCCCTTGACACCTCGGAACCCTGTGCTCATCTGCCCCTGCTCACCCGTCACCGGCTCTTACTGAGCCTCTGCCGGGAACCCCAGCCACAATGCGGGACACAGAGGAAGCGCAAGGGGACAGCCATCTCAGCAGGTCCCTGGCCATCGACAGAGTCCACCGGGTCCTCAGCGAGGAGAAACGGCACAGGCTGCCTGGTCCCTTGTCACCCCACCCATCGCCTGAGCTCAGCCACGCTAGGCAAGGTGCTCCCTCACCTGTCACAGTGCCACCCAGGCTGGGCGGGGGACGGCCTGTCAGCTCAGGACAGGACACAGTGCCTGTCTGTGGGAGCGGAAAGCGGCCTGGGAGCCTCGGCCCGCCCCGGTCCCGCCCAGTCCTGCGCTGAGCCAGGCCCGGCCACGGCCTGGCCACCTCCCGGCCACCACCCGGCAGCTGCCCTCCTCCACCTGCGCACCGGTTCCTGGGCTTTGAGGTGGCCGCGCCATCCTGTCACCTACCAGCGGGCATTCCGCACACACTCAGCTAATACCCATCTGGCTATACGTGTCAGGGCCAGATTAATCCACACAGTGAAAATGAAATCGTCTTTAATAAGAATCCTAATCACCAGGCCTCAGGGGGCCGGGACCTGGGGCCGGGCTCAGACACAGGCCTGGCCACCCCCCCGCCCGCCGCCCAGGGTGCTTCCACAGCTCGCCCTCGTGGGCCGGGCACCGGGCCTCAGGCCAGGAGGGGCCCTGCCCCTGCTGAGGGCACCTTGCCCAGGCCACCTGCAGGCTGGCAGCTGCCTGCGGCCCCGGCCACCTCTCTGCTGTCCTCTGCAGAGAGCTGGAGATTTGACAAATAAGGTGTCCGCCTGCGGACGACCAAGGAAATTAATTCTAAATCAGATTTTAAACACAGTCAGGAAGGCAAGGAGCGGCCCGCTCGCTCCCCCTCCGGAATGAGGCGCTGATATTTATAGAAAGATGATTAGGGCCGCAGAGGGTGATTTATATCCTGCGTCCAGGTGACAGGAAGGACGGCCGCCGAGACTTCAGTCCCTGAGATGCCACTCCACCACGTGATGTGTCCTTCCCCTTTCTGGAGGAGTGGGGGAAGAGTGCAGTGGGGTGTCCGGGGAGGTCACTGGGTCAGGAGCGGGGAGGTGTTCCCAGGTGTTCTTCCTGGTCAGGGAATTGGGAGAGCAGAGACACCACCAACCCCTCCCTGCTGTTCGCCCCCGAGCCAGTCTCTTGGCCTCTCTGGGCCTCCACCTCCCACCGGTAAAATGGACTAGCTGCATACGGCTCTGACGTTTTTCCACGGGTCTCTGAGTCCTGAGTGCAATCTTAGCAAAGCCTCTGAAGAGCCATGAGACCTGGTAGGGCCGCCGCCGCCTCCTCCTCCTCCTCCTCCTCCTCCTCCTCCTCCTCCTCCTCCTCCTCCTCCTCCCAGGATTCACTGTCTTCCTCTGTGAATGTCAAGGGCTGGGAGATATCCAGATATAACCCCTGTCCCAGCCCCTCCTCTCCAACAGGAGGTCTTGGGACCAGCCAGGGGCCACTGACCAGGAGGCGAAGACCCACCGGGGAAGCTCTGAGGACATCTCAAGTGGCCCAGGAAAGACACCCCCGTGCCGTCCCCAGCTCCTGCCCGGCTCTGAGCGCTCTGCTCAGTCTGTCCATCAAGGAGGGGCTGAGGCCTCAGAGAGGGGGAGGGCTTCCCGGGGGCAGGAGGGGACGCTGGTGAAGGCCTTGGTGAGGGGCCGGTGCTGCTCTTTCCAACTGGAGTGACATAGACAGTCACAGAAGCCACCAACAGGGCAGAAAATGTCTCTCCTCGTGTGACTTCAAACTGGCATTCCCTTCACAGATCTCCCTGCCTGCAGTGCGCTCAGAATTAATATTTTTTATTAAAACCTGTAATTATCTTGCAACTAGCATAATTATGTTGTATTATGATTCAAATGTAAAATTCAAAATACGCTGTGATTCCCGAGCCCTGCCCTGGCATTTCTTTATTATCTTTTATTAATGCGCCGGCAGCGTCAGGAAAGGGGAGCAGCGCTGGCCTCGCCCGGCCTCGGCAGGGCCCGGACTTTCTGCCGGGAGCCCTGCCCTGGGTGTGCTGGGGACCTGGGCAGGCGGGGACTGGGCAGGCGGGGACCTGGGCAGGCGCACTCCTGCTCGGGGCTCCATTTCCCACCCGGCTACAGGAGGATCCTGGAGCATCTCCCAAGAGCCCCGCGAAGTCAGGAGGCAAGTGTGCGTCCCCCGGGCCAGCGTGTCTCAGTGCGCGTGGGACAGATGGCTGGCGGATTCATGCTCCCTCACAACATCCAGAGCTGGGTAGCAGCTGTCCCCAAGGAGCTACGCACGGGCCAGCCCAGTTAGCCTGGCCTCTGCGGTATCAGTCACTGACCATCTAAGTGAGACCGGGGGGAGGGCAGGTGGGCTTTGGAGAAGACTCTGTGGACAGAGGAGGCAGCTCTGGGCCGTGGAGCCGGGAGCCCGGGATGCCATCGCACTCTGCCATTAAGGTTGAGGGGCTTCAGGTTTGTCATCTGTAAAGTGAGGACCCGAGGCCTGGCTCAGAGGGCCACGGTGAAGGTGAGAAACTCATCCTCAAAGGCAGGCCTCCTGCCCCGGCCCTTGGTGCCCGTCAAACACAGACACGCAGGGAAGAGACAACCCACCTCACGGGAAGAGTGTTTGCTAAACGGCACACACGACAACACTTGAAAAACTGTCACGAAGCTACTTGATCATCCCCATCAGAACAGTAGGACGCTGGGAGCCGGCTGTGGCAGGAAGGGCCGCCAGGAGCAGGCTGAGTGGGGTTCAAGGCCGCGTTACCTCCTGTGCCTCAGTTTCCCCACCTATAAGATGGAGCTGTAAAGTCAGCCGAGAACCGAGCTGTGAGGCTCGGGGAGACAGCCCAGCAGCAAGGCGGGAGCACACGGAGGCGGTGGGGAGTCAGCAAATCAGGGACAAGCCAGCGCCACTGAAGGAATTCAGAGCCCAGCAAGGTCAAGACGAAAGGTTTCTCAAGGAAGCCAGAGAGCCCAGGAAGGGCACGAAAGGGCCTGGGGGCCAGAGGAAGACCTGGCTGGAGCTGCCTGTCACCTGAGGTCGCCAGCCAACGCCCTGCTCAGTCTTGTTAAAATCAAGACACTTTGTTGCGCGCCAGAGGCAGAGGGAAGGTGCTAATGGGGACCAAAGGTCCTGTCCCCCTAACTCTGGGCCCCAGGACCTGTGTGGGCAGAGCAAAAGGCGAAGAGGATATTCCCAGTGGCTGATGGGGACCTGGTGCCAGTTTTTGCTGTCTGGGGACAGGCTCTCATCTTTCTGATCCCTGCACAGGAGCTTCCCCTTCTTCAGCCCAGGGGGACCGTTGGTCTCAACAGCCAGGCCTCCCTGTGCCTGACACACGGCTAAGGGGCCCCATGTCCAGCTCATGGGACTCACAGAAGGGCCGAGGGGAGCCATGCGGAGCCGGCACCAACTGGGCACCAGCTGTTCACACACCACATTCCCTCGAGCTCCCTCCTGGCTGCAGGGTGCCCCCCTGAAGTCCCCTGGGCACACACATGCCCTTGCACACACGGGGGCTGGGCTCCCCCTATGCACGCCTGTTCCTGGTCTGTGACACAAAGTCCCAGCTTGACACCAGAAGCACATGCTAGTTCCTGACCAAGGTGCCCGGTGTCCTCAACAGGACCTCTTGTCCTCTCCCACAGGACGCTGGACAAGTTTCCCTAAATGCAGGCAGCCTAGGTCGGGTGCCCAGTGACAGACCCAACCTAGACGGTCCTCCCCGGGTGCACTGCCTGGACCCACTGGACGCCCTCCCTGTGCGCTCCCAGCAGGTGAGAAGCTCAGCGGTTTCTCACACAGACCCTGGAGCTGGGCTTGTGGGAGCCATAGAGCCTGGCCGCCTCTGAGCTGTGGGACCTTGGCAAGTTGCTTCTCTGGCCTCAGTCCCTTCATCTACAAAAAGGGACTAATTTAAAATATATATATATGTAAATAGCGAGAGATGAGTGGAGTGGGGAAGAGGATGGGGAGGGAGGAGGGGAGGGGACAGGAGGAGCTGGGGACTGAATGAGAAGTATGTCCCATGCTTTTATAATTTTGTCCAAATTAATCCTAATGTTATGCATAACTAGAAAGAACCAATAAAAAGGCAAAAAAAAAAAAGTTTTTTTTAAAGCCCAGGATAATAGTAGTTCCTACTTCATACTGTGAGAGTGGGGATTAATACACGCAAAGTGCTCAGAACAGCGCCCGCAAGAGCACCTGAAGTGGGTCCCTAACTTAGGTACGTGCCCCAAGGCACCGGCGTCCCTAGCTGTACCCGTCAATGTCCACCGAGGGCACCTCCTGGCCACAACACACAGGTGGCCGGGTGTACCCGCAGCCCTGGAGTCAACCCATCCTCCCGGGACCCCAGGGCGCCACCCAGAGGCGGAAGGTGACGTCCCCACCCCGGCCCGCGGCCGCGCCCCTCACCCACTGCCCGCCCACGGGGCGCGCTCACCCACGCACGCATCCCGCTGCTCCTCGTAGCCGGCGCTGCACACGCACTTGCCAATGGGCACCAGCCACTCGCCCTCGGCGCTGCAGTACATCTTGGGGGTGTCCCGCTCCTCCGAGTGCCGCACGCACTGGCCCCGCACCTCCACCAGCGAGGACGAGTCTGCGCCGGTCACCGCCTCCGAGAAGGCCGCCAGGTTGCGCACCATGGCGGGGCACTTCTTGTAATAGATGCGGAGGGAGAGGATGGCGAGGCAGGCGCCGATGTCCTGGAAGGCCAGGTAGAAGCCGCGCTTGCTGAGGGGACCCACGCCGCGCACCTCCGTGTTGAGTTTGAGCCGCCGCACGCCCAGGTCGGCGCCCGTGAAGCTCTCGTCGGCCGCGATGGTGTCGATTTTGAGGAACTGGCTTTCCTGCGTGCTGGAGCCCAGGTCGCGGTCCGACTCCAGGTAGTAGAGGTTGAAGGTCTCCTTGCAGGTGCCCAGCACGCCGGGCATGCTGTTGCAGTCACGGAGCGTGAACTTGATCTCCGCGTAGACGCGCCGGGCACCGTCGCGGGGCACCCAGCTCGTGCGCAGCCAGTTGTTCTGGTTGGGGCTCATGACGTTGCACACCTGGTACGTGTGGATGGGCCGGAAGGACTCGTCCACCTCGTTGATGGAGTCCCACTGTGGGCGGAGAACACAGCCCGCTAAAGAAGCCGCGGCACCCAGCCCTCTCCTGCCAGCCCCTGGGCCCGGGGCCACACACGGTGCCTTCTCATGCCCCTGGGAGAAGGCAGAGCAGCTGACCCTCAGACAGATGGTCATAGGTCTCAGCTGCCCAGTGCCCTGCAGATGTGACCTCACAGAGGACCACAGTCCTCCTCGGAAGTGCACTGACTTCCTGTGGTTGAGGACAGGGACTAAGGTGTGAGCCCCAAGCCTGAGGTCACACAGCTAGCTCCAGCTGCACTGGCACCCAGGCCCCTCACGCATGGAAACCAGCCTCCATCTCTGTATGGCTCCACCTGTCATTCCCAGAGTGAGGGCACCTGCTGGGGGGAGTTGGCAACACTGCAGCTGCCACAGGGGTCTCACGACCAACAGAGACTCTGCTGGCCCTGCCTGGAACCCCCCCACCACAGCCCCTCCCGCACTGTGCTCCCTGAGTGCCCACCACTCCCCCAGCCCTGCTGTTCTTACTGGTCCCCTGCCTCCCGCCCAAGGCTGGGGATTCCCAGACTGGCCTGTGTCCCACTCAATTGAGGGTGCAGGAAGGTCAAGTGTGTGTCCTCTGTACCAGCGAGTGGCCGGGCAGGAGTGGATCAGAGATGAACCAGGTGCTCTCCCGAGCGGGGAGATAACCCCAGCGATGGAGAAGACCTCTGCCCATCATGCATCGGAGAAGGGATTAACATGCCGAGGAGGTAGAGGAAGACCCCCCAACCCAGGGGGGGGAACCATCTCAACAAAAGAGGAGCAAAGAACAGGAACAGACATTTCTCCAAAGATCTACAGATGGCCAAATACACGTGAAGAGCTAGCTGCTCCACGCTGCTGATGGCTGGGGAAACAGGAAAACCACACTGGGAGCCACTTCATGGCCATTAGTATTTACAAAAAACAAAACCCAGAAGATACCCAGTGTGGGTGAGCATGAAGAAGCAGGACCCTCGCGCACTCGGGCGGGGACGTAAAATGTGCAGCCACGGTGCAGAACAGCTCGTGGTTCCTCCAGAAGTTAAAAATAGAGTGGCCACGGCACCCCGCAATTCTGAGTACACACCCCTGAGGACTGAAAGCAGGGTCCCCTGGAGATCACTTGTACACACGGTGTTCACAGCAGTGTCACTCACAACAGCTGAGATGTGCCGCTGGGGGTGCAGCTCAGAGGTAGAGCCCTTGCCTAGCCCATGCGAGACACTGGGCTTGATCCCCAGCACTGCTCCCCCCAAAAAAAGAACCCCAAACCAATAGCTAAACTGGAAGCGGCCCAGATGTCCACCAACAACTGAATGGATGAACAAGATATGGTGTATGCACACAATATGTGCATATAGCTGAATAAAAAATAGATTATTATTTAGCCTTTAAAAAGAATGAAATTCTGATACCTGCTAAAATATAGGTGAACCTTGAAGAGATTACAGTAAATGAAATATGCCTGGGACAAAAGGACAAGTCGCGTAGGACCTCACTTAACAAAGCACTTGGGTTAGTCGGATTCGTAGAGGTAGAAACTAGCCGGGGGCTGGGGAGAGGGGGAGTGGAGACACCACTTAGTGGGAACAGAATTTTGGTTTAACAAGATGAAGAGAGTCCTGGAGATGGACAGCAGTGACGGTCACACAGGAATGTGAGTGCACTGAATGCCACTGACCTGTACAGGTAGAAGTGGATGCGAGCAAACTTCAAGTTGGGTCTATTTTACCACAAGGAAAAAAGAGTAGGGCTGGGGTGCGGCTCGGTGGCTGCGCGCTTGCCTGGCACACACGCACGGGGCCTGCGTTCCCCCCAGGACCCCACAAAACACACAAATACACAAACAAACAGAACAAACCTTTCATTAGGGGCTGGGTACTCAGCGGGTGGGGAGCGCCTGCCAGGCAACCTCAGGGCCTACGTTCACCCCCCACCCCAGAAAACCAACCAAACAGAAAGAGTGAAGATGTCACACAAATGCCCCCCACCTTCAGTGCTTCCCGGCCACGTGCAGGTGGAGGGGGTGACCACCTGGGGACGGAGTTTCCAGGCACGTGGGCATGTCTCAGGGGCCAGCCTGGGCGAAACAGGGGTGTGCCCGCTCAGCCGCACTGCTGGCAGATGGTGGGGTCAGGCTCTGCCCCTCGACCTTCTCTACTGGGTCTTCCTGTGCAGCTGTCCTTGAACTAGAGATCCTATCGCCTACCGGGGGAGGCCCTGAAGACCACTCCTCGTGGGGCTCTGAGAGCCTGGGGGCTGAGCTTGTTCCCAGTGCAGGGGGCCTGGGTACCCTGACTGTCACAAGCCCCTCTGTCCCTCCTTGTCCCTGCCACTGTGTGGTCCCACCCTTGGTGCCCAGATCTATACAGCAGGGCTCAGACAGACCCCATTCAGCCCGGCTTCAGACCGTGCCCTGAGAACATGCCTGCTCAGGCCTGGCCCCCGGCGGCCCCTGAACTGGACACACACGAGTCGGAACTGGCAGACTCCCCCAGACTCCCTCCACCTCCAGGTCAGTGTGGGAGCAGGGCCTCGTCTCTAGGGACCCCGGGAGCTTCCTGCTCCCTACCCCAAGAAGGAGCCCTGCCCTGTACCGCACTCTGCAGCCAGAGCCTCTGGGCAGCACCATGCCACATCTGGGGTTAAAGTCATTGTCACAATTAATGGAACACCAGAGAGCCTGCCAGCTGCTCCCTGTCTGTTTCCTGCCAGGGGCCTGGATAAATTAATCAGCCTGATCTGAGTCCACTCCAGCCACCCCACCAGTGCCAGCAGCTTGGCCAGCCCTGCCGGCCCCAGGAGCCACTGCAGAGGCCTGGCACAGGGGCACAGCCAGTCTCGGTCTCCACAGGGCACCCTAACCTGCACACCAGGGGCCACTCCCACCCCGGTGGCCTCTCAAGCTCTGGCAGCTAACCCTGGCTCTCTTCCCCGGCCGCGCTCTCTTCCTGGGACAGAATGCAGTGAACCAGCCGCGTGTCCCTGGGAAGTCACATCCCTCTCTGAGCCTGGGGCTTCTCATCAGTGAAATGGGGTTGCCGATGGCCTCCGTTTCTGTCTCCTCCAGGAGGTGAGGATCAGGTGTGTCCCCTCACCTAAGGCAGGGCGATGAGCAACTTAATTCACCAGGCAAGGTGCAGATGTCCCTGGGGGCAGAAGTCCCTGGGGGCAGAGGGAGGACGTAGCCTGGCTCAGCACACAGGTCCGGGGCCTAGATGTCCCCCCAACCTGAGCAGAGTGGCCTCGCCTCTCAGAGCTTCTCACTGGTAAAATTCACCCCCCATGGACAGCTGCCCGGACCCATGAACCACCCCTGTTATAAACGGGTGGTCGAGGCCAGGTGAGTGACCTGCCCAAACCCTCAGTCACAGGAGGCAGAGCCTGGCCCAAGGAGTCCAACACCCTTGCCCTCCAGGCTGTGCCACTGCCTGGTAACGGGGCTGGGGACAGCCCTGCAGGGCCTCCGCACCCTGGCTGTTGGGCGGACTCCAGGGAGGTAAACAGAACCTCAGGACCCTCTGCAGAGGACCTTCCTCCCCACTGGGCAGGAGCGTCACCTGGAAAGTGTCTCAGAAGAGGCCCGGCCCCTCCCCAGGACTCCAGACAGGGACACGTGCATGTTCCTCCTGCCAGCGCCCCAGGATGAGGGTCTGGAATCGGGGACCAGGCATCCCAGTCCAGCTCTCTCCCCTCCAGGCCACCCCAAGCTCCAGGAGACAAGGAGGGCAGCCCCCCAGCCGCACCGTGGGGACCTGGCGTCTACCCAGGCTAAGAGACGCGCTGCGGGGCCGGCCGGAGGGCCTGAGCGTGATCCCGGCTCCCGTCACTCGGGACCTGTCGACGAGGGGCTTTCCTCATGCCGCAGTTTCCTCACCTGTGTGGTGGGCCGCACCCACCTCCCCGACGGTGCGGGCTGAAGCCACACGCTTCTGCGAACCGCTCAGAGCCGTGGGGACCTGTGCGGTCATTTTTAACTTGTTCTAAATCCCAAATGAAATGAGAGAACACTGAGCCGTGGTCTAGTGTCCCACCAACAAAAGACCCTTCCATCACCGTCACACTCCTCACCTGCTAACGCCCCACGACTCCTATCACCCCAAAAACCAAGTCCTCAGCACTGAGTGGGACACTGACCCACCAGAGCCAATCTGGGGCCAGGCACGTCCCCGCTGCACAGGGCCTGGTGGGTCCCTTCATAGCTGCTGGGACTCAAGGGACTTGCTCTCTGCCAAGAGTGGACAGGTGTGGACCAGGCTGAGACCTGAACCCCCACCCCAGGTCAGGCCCGTGAGCGGCCACACGGGCTCACCCTGTCGAAGCCCGTCCACACCCCGCCATGCTGATCTTGAGATGGGGGCTCCCTCCTGGCTCCGGAGCCTGGAGAGTCAGGGCCCACAGAGGCTGCCCCGCCAGCTCCCCCGTCCCTGGGCACAGGGGCTGATGACCACAGGCTCAGCTCACTGCTGCCTGATGATGAGACCCCCAGAGAGATCGGGGATAGGGCTCCATCCTGCCCTCCAGCCACGGGCCCAAAGGCTGGGATGAGAACTCACCCCAAAGCCAAGCCAGACGCCTCACATAAGTGAACTCTTGGTGTCATTATCACCATTAATACTAGCAATATTGTCCCTGTCCCCAGAGCCATGGAAGTAGAAAGTATTCATGAAAGAAGTCAGTATGCTCACGTGCGTGTTGGGGACAGGGGTCTGTGTGTGCGTGCGCGCGCACTGGTGGGAGGAAACTTGGGTGAGATAATAACCCATAATACACACTGATGACAGTGGTAATTCAAATAATAAAAGCTGACACCTGCCGGGCGCCGTGGCACACGCCTGGGATCCCTGCAGCTCAGGAGGCTGAGGCAGGAGGATCACAAGTTTAAAGCCGGCCTCAGAAACTTAGGGAGGCCTAAGCAACTTAGCGAAACCCTGTCTCCAAACAAAACTCAAAACTAAAAAGGCTGGGGTGCGGCTCGGTGGTCAAGCACCTCTGCGTTCAATCCCTCCGGGGGCTCAGTGTGCGGGGGGCCTGTGGCTGTCCCCTCCCCACCCCCGTAGCAGACCCCAGGAGGCCGACCCAGGCGGGGTCCTTCCTTCAGGTGGAGAGGACATGGTGACTCAAGGCCCCAGCGCACCAGCGGCAGAGCTGGGTCCCACCCATTTAATGGGCTCATCCTGAGATTCGGGAAGGAGCAGCGGAAGGGAGGGCCGTTCAGCCTCGTCCCTGGAGCCCCCTCCCCAGGAAGGCAGGAGGGGGCGTCCCATCCCTGCGAAGGATGACCATTTGGGACCTGGTGGACTGGCCCAGGGTCACCTTGGAGGCCCACTGGGGCCTGGGGCCTTGGCCACAGTGGGGGCTGCCATGCCCCCATGTGACTGTGACACACAGTGGCTCGGCCCCGAGCAGATCCTGGGGAGGGCACGCGGCCGGGAAGACGGACCAACCCTGACGGCCTGGCTGGCCTTCCTGGCTCTGTCTCCTGGTCGCTGCGTCTCAGGCGGCCCTGGGCCTGGCCTGGGCAGGTCCTGAGTCTCAGGCCCAGGGCAGGGCCCTGAGGTCTCAGAGCCGGTGCAGTGGTCCCCAGGGTCTGAGGTGTCCAGACTGTTGGAGGCCAGCCACCCTGCCTCCTGCTGCGGGGGGCCTTGGGCAGCCCCTTCACCTCTCTGGGCCTCCACTCTCTTTGGATCTTGTGACGCTGAGACTCTGACTCGCGGCCTCCCCCGGCTCCCGGAGGGATGACTCCGGCCTGTCACTCACCCCATGCGCCGGGTACGTGAGCCAGCCCCAGTCCCCGTGGATGGTCGACGTGTCCAGCAAGTTCACTGTAAAACAGGAGACAGGAGGCGTCAGGTCCCTGTGACCCTCCTCCCAGCCCCCAGCAGAGGCGCACAGGGGCCAGCCCAGGCCCCCTCCCCGGAGGCCTCCTGGAGAAAGCCACCTGCCAAACTCCCGATGCCCCAGGGGCCAGGGATCCCGGCTGGTGGCCAGGAGGTGGCTCAGGAGGCCAGCGGTGGAGGCTGGGAGCCCCGGGGGAAGGCCCTCCTCCTCCAAGGCTCGGCTTCCTCCTCTGTTAAATGGGGGAGGCGGTGGCTGCTGTCTCACGGGGCGTTTGTGAGGATGGCCCGACACAGGGTCACGGTGGCATCAAACCATCACGCTGTGAAGTCAGACATCCCCGTGGGGGACCGGCCCCAGCTTCAGGGTCGCCAGTGTCCCCCAGGAAGGGCCCCGGCGTCTCCTGCGCTCCTGAGCACGGTGACATGGGGGACCTAGAAGAGGAAGCGTGGCCTCTCCACGTGCACCTACTGCGTGCCGAGCTCCGCGAGGGGAGCTGTGGGCCCGTCTGAGGCCTCGCGGAGGAGGCCCAGGCCCTGGCCCAGGCCCCAGGTGCAGGGGTGGCCCCCAGAACCTCTCCCCGCCCTCACGTACCACACCACACCCCTGGGAGCCCCCCAGCCAGAGGGAGCCCCAGTGTGGACGGACCTCAGACCCAAAGGGCAGGCCCGTTCTAAGGCCCTGTGTCCAGGGGACAGTTTCAACAAGGGAAAGGGCCCACCTCTGGGCTCTTGTGACAGCACAGCCACTTATTAGCAAGTAGCCTTCCCTCCTTTCACCCTCAATTTCCTCATCTGTAAAATGGGTTAATAATGCCTAAAGGTTAAGAAGCCATTCTGTAGCTGGGCATGGTGGCACGTGCCTGTAATCCCAGCGGCTCAGGAGGCTGTGGCAGGAGGATCACAAGTTCGAGGCAGCCTCTAACTTAGGAGCCTCTAAGCAACTTAGCGAGACCCTGTCACAAAATAAAAATTCAAAAGGGCGGGGCTGGGGTTGTAGCTTGGTGGTAGAGCACTTGCCTAGCATGAGTGAGGCACTGGGTTCATTCTCAGGATCACATATAAAGAAGTTAAAGGTCATATATAACAAATTAGAATTTAAAAATAAATAAATTTTTAAGAAAGAAATTAAAGGTCCATCAACAACTGAAAACATATTTAATAAATAAACAAATAAATAAATAAAAAGGGGGGTGTGTGGCTCAGTAGTTAAGCATCCCTGGGTTTAATTACACACACACACACACACACACCCATCATCTGTGAAGGCTGGAGCCAGTGCCTGAGACAAGCCGGTCCTTCTCAGGGCTAATTTCCTTTCCAAGTCCTGTCCTTCTGTCCTCTCTCCATGTCCCTTATGCCTATTCACTCACTTATGCAGAAAAAGGGGCACAAAACTGGAAACCGAGGATGGATCCCAGCTCTGCTCTGCCTGCTGTGTGTCCTCAGGTAAGTCCCTTCACCTCTCTGGGCCCTACTTCCTTTTGATCTAGTTGGTGACGGTCAGGAGAGGGCATCTGGCTCCAGTCTTAACACCTTCCCAGTTTCAGGACTTCCATGAATCTCTTCTCCATCAGCCATGGGCTGCCAGCCACCCTAATCCCGAGCTTGGGCAGGTCACAGAGGGTTAAAACCGGAGCCTCTTGGAACTTGGCGGCAGGGGAGCCTGGGATTTGCATAGCTGGAGCCTACACCTCAAAGGTGGAGACAAGTGTCCTCAGGAGCTGTTGGAGTGACAAGCTCTTGTTTGCCGATTTCCTTCTTCCTCTCACCTTCCCACCCCATTGTCAGGGATCCCGGAGAGGGGACTGGCAGACGAGAGGGGGCCTCTGTGCTCCTCCCCACACCCCCAGAGGCTGGGGGATGGAGCCAGTGTCCACGGAGGGGTCTCCCCCTCCCCACGCCGGCCCCACACCAGGGGCACAGGCAGAGAGGAGAAGGCTTCCCGCCTCCCTCCCTCCCTCCCTCCCTCTCAGGCAATGTGGAGAAAACTGGGTCAGGCAGCTCCCTCCTCCCGCTGGCTGTGGGAGGGGGAGGGGGCCGCACTGCAGTCTCCCCCAGACCAGCAGGGCCCAGTTTGGAGAGAGGGTGGGACGGGGACACCTATGGACCCCCCCCACACACACACCCGCATCCCAGATGCAGGCCCAGGGCAGGCGGCCCCTTCTCCTGGCAGGGAATGGATTCAGCTCTAAGGAGCCTCTACCTTGGAGCAACCCGAATGAACGTCCACCACCCGGGTCCTCCCCTCGGCACACCCTGACTTCACGGCCACTTTCTGGGTCCTTCTCTCCTCTAGGAAGCGCCACCACATTAGTGGCTGATTCTCAACCAACCAGCCAAGAGGCTTGGAAAATCCAAAGATAAGTCAAAAGTCAATTCCGTGGGATTCAGAAAGGACTCTAGAGTCCCAGAGCTGTGGGTCTCGATTCTTTCTAGGCCCTTCTCTGTCCCCTGCCCCTCCTCTCCCTCCAGTCCACCTGCACTGCCTCACCTCCTGCTCCTGGCCACAGGTGAGGCTGCAGAACACTTCTCAGGACCCACCAGAGGCTGCACTCGCCTGGCCAGAGCCCGAGTTCCCCTGGACACAGAGACCTTCAGCCACCGCAGTTGTCCCCTCTCCTGTTTCTTGTACTGTGCAAGAAGGCAACTGACCCCCCTGCCGGGCCGGCCTCCCCACTCCCAGGCCCTGCAGAGAAGCGGCTCCAGACCCCTCTAGGCCTCAGTTTCCTCATCTGCAAGATGCCCACGGGCACCCCTCCTGGGCTTGCCAGGCCGGGCAGTTCTAGGGGGACCAAATGGGTCCTTCTCCTGCTCTGAGCAGCACAGATAATTCCTAAGCCGCGCTGTCGACGGTGGAAGGCATTATGCGATTTCTTTTTCTCTCCAGCGTCGTCACCTTCCTCCATTCCATTTCGCTGAGACTAATACTTAAATTGATTTACATTCCCCGAGGACACAGCGCATGATAGTGAGGCTGGAGAATTCGGGGTGGCCAGGGGATGTCAGCCAGGATGCAGACACCTTGGAGATCACCCCAAAGTGGAGGATAATCCACTCCCAAGAGCACTAAGGGGCCTGAGGTTGGGGCTTGGGGACACCTCTGCAGGGGCAGGGCCCTTCTCAGACCCATGGCTGTATAGCAGGGCCACTGTGAGGAGCTGGTACCAGGTGCTGGGCCAGCTGGTCCACCCTCACCTCTGCTGGACCCTGGGTGGGAACAGTCTCCTCCCTGGGTTCCAGTGCTCTCCCTAGCCTGTTGGGGTTCTGCATCAGTCCAGGGACAATGCCAGGAAAACTCCTGATGTCCCAGGTCGGATCAAGCCCCAGGGCTCCGTCAGAGGCTGTCTCCCTTGGGTGTGTGACCCCTGCCCAGCTGCGGGCACTCTGCTGTGTGGAGCAGATGGCCGTGAACTCTGGCCTTGGATGGTCCTCCCCACAGCCGCTCCTCCCCCCACCCGCCTTCTCCCAGACCCGCCACCTCTCCAACCTGCTCCTCTCCTGTCCTCGGCATGGGGGCCTGGGAGAGTCTCCGGGGGGCTCTGGGGCTGGCAGCCTGTGATTCTGGGAAGTGCCGGCTCCGGCTCCCAGAGCCTGCTGTGGGCCTTCTCAGAATCCCCACCCCGACCCTGGGAAAATGTCAGCTCAGGCCATAGCACTGAGGGACCCCAGGCCCCTGGCTCCCCGATTCTGTCCTCTTCCCTACTCACCGAGCAACCCCAGCCACTCCCCCCGCCAGCCCTGCCCTGGCCTGGCCCCTCACCTCTCCACTACTGCAGTGGCCCTGCTCTCTGCTGGACCCAGCTTCCTAGAGGACGAGGACTTTCTCTATGTGACAGTGTCTGTGCACATGCATTTCAGAGGGCACGGAAGCCATTTGAGGGTCTCCTCATGACATGTCCATGCACAGATGTCACCTATGTTCGTGTGTATACGTGTGTGGACATGTCTGCACCTGTGAACCGGCCGCAGGCTGCATGTAGGGGACTGTCCCGTGTGGGGTTGTCCACGTGCGTGTCTGTGGCCAGGGTCCATGTGCGTGCGTGCTGCGGGGCCAGGCGGGGTTCTGTATGCTATCTGCATGTGACAGTGGCTCTGTGGCCCGAGCGTGTACCACGAGCAGCGCTGGCTCTGGAGGTCTGTCCTGCCTGGACCAGAACCCAGCTCCAGCCCCCAGACATCAGTTCCACAGCCCTCCGACAGTGCCAGGTCCTGTGTCCCCTGGGCAGTGCTGTGCAGCACAGGGGACGGGGCCAGGGAAGCAGGCACCGTGGGCTGGACCTGGACTGTCTAGTGGGGCTGAGGGGTGGGGGAGCCCTGGCTGCCCCCTCTCAGCTCTCCTTGTCCCTCCTCCCACCAGAAGTCGCCTCCTGGATCCTTTTGGTCACACTCATACACCCCCACCTCCTAACTGGCCCCTACCCTCCTCCTCCAGGCCCCGGAGTGACAGGGCCACCCTGGCTTTGACCCAGACGAGACCCTGCCTCAGTCTCTGCCCCCAGCCCTCGCTCCATGGTCCTTACAAGGCGGCTCCTCCTGAGGCTGCCTCTCCTGCTGCTGCAGCCACTGCTGTCCCCTCTCCCCACTCGCCAGCCCTCGCCCTGCTCCCAAGGCTCATTTACAGCCCCTTATTCTTGCGTCCCCAGCGCCCCAACCTGTTCTCTGGTCCTTCTCAGTTTGTGGTCCCCAGCTTGCGATGACATTCCCAGCCCCTATTCCTTCAGCCCTCTGAACCTTGACCCTCATTCCTGTCCCTCTGTCCCCTAGTGCTTGCCACTCTGTTCTGTCCTGTCCCCAGCCCCGGCCCCTGCCCTCTCTGTCCCCTCTCTCCTCATACCCTTTCCTGCTTTCTGTCCAATCCTGCACCTTGTCCCCATGTCCCATCCTCAGTTCTCTGTCCCCAGATCTGCATCCCTCAATCCTGTCCCAGCGTGGGTTCCTCCGTCCTGCCCCCTGTCTTATCCCTCGTTCCCCGAGCCCTGTGCCTTGGTCCCCCGTCCTCAAGCCCGCGGGTCCCCATGCCCACCGCCCTGTCCCTCAGCCCCGGTCTCTGCCCCCTACCCTGCCCGCCTGGCCGAGGGCTTCAGCGCTCGCAGCTCAGGGTCGCGGCCAAGGAAGTTGAGCCCCAGGCAGCGCGCGCCGCGCCCCCGCCCCCGCCCCGCCGCCGCCGCTCACCTTCGCCGCGCGCCGCGGACACGCAGGTGGCCGCCGCCGCCGCGGCCGTGACGACCCAGAGCGCGGGGGGCAGGCGGCCCCGGGCGGGGGCCATGGCGGGCGGCGCCGCGCACCCTCG